TTACACAGTCCAATGTCTCTTTTGAAAGTTATGTCGGGTGTAATTAATATCCCATTCTAATGTTCTGACTGATGCGAGAGCATTTTCCAGGGTATATCATTTTGTGAATCCCACCATGGACCTATTACGAATGGACATTCATCGTTTTCTTAATGAATTCATTGTGATTGTCTCCGTCAATGTCGTCTCAATAACATTCCCTACATGTTTCGTCACTTTGATCTCATCATGGTCGCCGCCAAAAAGCCGGGACAGAATCAAGATAGTGATTTTACACATGTTGATCTACATGCGCAGAAGATAATAACTCGCCTAAATCATGGAAAATCGATGTGCAGTTCTGGCTTATAATCGTAAATTGTTGTTCTGTGTACTGTGCATGTATTTTATTTTGAAAAACATGTTGATATAACCAGATAGAGGTTATTTTTGGATTTTTGGGGTTGTGATTTAAAATCCCGTTACCCCCTATTTCCTCATAATATTCCAGAGTTAGAAAGCACAGGGCTTATAAAGATCATGGCCTTTCAGCTGTTTTATAAGGTCATGGGTGTGTGCGAAAGTGTGTGAATCAGTAATAATACATTTCATATCACTAAAATCATCTGCTTTTCAACTTTGCTGCTCCCCATTAGGGATGCTTTCATTTAAGACACACTCTTACAGAGCACACCCTCTAAACAAAACCCAAGAGAGGGAAACTGCTCCTTTGTCAATGACCGAAAATTCTTACGCAGTCGTTATTGTTAAAACAGCTGAATGTTCTCATTAAGATGCACATAATCAGAAGGCGGCGACTATCAGTGGATCAAAGAAAGAATCACGTTGAATGTCCATCCGTAATAGGTCCATGATCCCACCGACCATCACAGCTAGAGCATTTTCACCGAAAATAATATGATTTCGAAATTTCATTGCTGCTCCTGCTTTGCTCAGCTCAGCGAAGGCTACATATTTTTAGGCCTAGGATTTTTTTTTTAATCCATTACTTTGTCTTTAAAAAAAAAAATCCTCATTAGCAATTGACTGGCCATTTTGACCAATATCGATGGTCATACTAGCTTACAGCTGCAACCCCACTTCCAGCACATGTAAAACACTAAAGCAAAAGGCAACCGTCATGGGCCCCCAATATATAAGTTGTGCTTCACAGCGGTCCAAAGCCATTCGCGATTCCAATAAAAAAAAAGGTTTGTAATGATTGGCTTTAAATAAAGTTCAATAGCAAATCAGTTGGTGAGAAAACTCTTTTATTGTCATTCTCAAACCTCCTATTCAGAATCACTTTTTAATCTTTTTAATCATAGAGATGTGGAAACGCACGCTATAGTATGTTGATGGTAATGTGTATATAAGCTTCACGTCCTGGATAACATATGCTGATTAAGGTATCGCCAAATAATATACCAGCTACATGGAAAATGTACCATGTAACAAGAAAGAAAAAACAATAAACCGAAAAACAAATTCGGAATTTTCCTTGACATAATAAATTAGAACATCGCAATAATTACAACGAAAGAAACAAATAGGTTTTTAGTTGTAATTTGAATGTTTCTGTCGATGACAGTTGACGTAATTTTAGAGGGAGCTTATTCCACAGTTTTGGACCCATGGCTGAGAAAGCCCGTTCCCCCAAGCATGTTTTATTCTGGGTGTATTAAGTAATAGTGTGTCTGATGAGGAGCGAAGATTTCGTGTGGGGTTGTATTTTGAAACAGAGTTGCTCAGGTATTAAACGACTTTAATTGCCAGTAGCTTCATTTCGCTGGCTAAGTCGCTTAATATGCTAATTAACACTGACCCCTCATCAAACTCTCAGGTCAAGTTTATGACACAGGTGACACACACCCATCACTGCTTAGTATCAGATATCGGAGGAGGCACTATAATTGTCTCTACTAGCTTCCTGGAGTTGTCGAATCTTGCGCAGTGACCAATTGAAGGAAACTTTAATGACTTTTAAGATAGAGTTGAGTTCTGGTCATGCGGATTGTCAGGTGAGGGAGACAGGCTTGATATTATGTGGAAAGGTTGATGCCGGGTGGCCTACTTTGGAATCATACAAATGATCACAAATCCTTGCTGGAAATTACGTACAGCAAAAACCGCTGTGCAAAGATGAGAATATATTAGACTAAAAATAAACACGTGGCATCAAACACAAGTGGTCTATGACTATAGTAACTTCTACAGTTATATTGTTCCGAGTGCTGGCAGCATTTCAAGAGCAGCTAGTCCTGATCGGGGAACACTTCTACTTTGATAGTCTTCTAATTGACAAACAATGAATGAGAAATCTCACAAATTCTTGCTCACCTTATCAGAACTCAACCTTCTCTTTGATACAGCACGTTCATCAGGGACGAGATGAAAGAACACATAATAGCTCTGGTATTTTGATATTTGCTGTTGATTTCGTTTATTACATCGACACAAGTGTGTTATATTTATTATAACATCATGCAGTTTATAAGCCTTCTGCAACGAGGAGGAAGTAGGTGATATGCTCTCTTACAAAACTGTAACATTCTATAATACTTTGGACTGAATCTTATTTTAGATGTTGGGTAGTACAATAACTGAACCTCCAATACTAGTAAACAGATAACTTTTCCGTCGCATGAAGATCAGGGAGATTCTATTAAGTGCGAAGAGAAAGAAAATGAGAAGAAAGTTGTACATTCAATAATTGTCATTCACTCTGTAGACAGCGTTGGTTTTTAATTTAAACACAATAAGTTATTATCAATTGACAGACTGAGCTGTAGACAAGTGAACAATGAATCTCCATGCAAACATGAAGCAGAATCACTATATATATATATATCTCTACTCTCGTGACAATGGCCATTGTTAATATACGCATGACCTCTGACCTCGAGGAAATCTGCTGCATTTAATTGATATCATGGATTAGTGGTTACACTTTGAAGGTATTCATTTCCACTTCCGTTAGGAAATTGCCATAGCAACGAATTTAAAAACTTTGCGTAGTAATTTAAAAAATGGTTCATGTGATATTTTAGACTTGTACTGAATTGTTAAAGATATACCTTTATCATATGCGAAGAAGATAAGCATAATGCCTTCAGGTCAATTCAGTTGTTATTCATTCTAAAGTTTTACATTATTGTGAGCAAATCAAATATCCTTGTTGATTGACATTGGACAAATAAATACATTGAACGTTAAAAGACATGTAAACATTGCTTTATATGCGAAGAATTTCAAGGGTAAAACACATGGTACATTATCTGAATTTATACAAAATAAGAAAATAAAATGACAATCATTAAAAGCTCTTTGATGATTGACAGGTTGATTAGCAAGTAATAATATGATGATTTCGGCACGAGAGAAAAGTAGGGTAACACAAAGGTGCTGGGTATTGAACTGGACATATATCATAATTTTCCCTTGTTTGTAGTAGTAAAAAAACAGAGTGTGATTATTTTTATGGCCACGGTTTGTTTCACAATGTCGTACTTTGTGTAAACTATAAGTGAAACACTGTGACTTTACAATTTCAAACAATTACAAATAATCAAAGTTCTACTTTGTTTCCTCGACATGGAGAGCCTCCCCTCCCTCCACCTGTTTCCCACCTTCATCTGTCTTGTCTTGTTGTTAACATCCTCTTTAGTTTCCTCTCAACTCATCCTTTCCTCACTCATCCTCCTCTCTCACTCTTTCTCTTCACATATCTCCATCTTAGTTTCTCTTTTCTTCCCTCTTTCCGCGCCACTATTCTTATAGTATATCTTTACATATCAATTAAGTCTTGCTGAAACTCTGCCCTCGCCCCCTCCTACCCCTCACCTCTTTCCTATTGCGAGGCATTATTAAAATCAATGACTTATTTCATATTTACATTTCCCTCCTCCCCTTTACCCCCCCCCCCCTTTTTTTTCCTCGCTCTCTCTCTCTCTCTCTCTCTCTCTCTTACACACTCTCTCTCTCTCCCTTTCTTTCTCTTTTCCTTTCATTCTCTCTGTCTCCTTCCCATGCACATCTTCTTCATTTGTCATTATGGTCATCGTCATATTCTTCATTATTTCAGGTGTATACGGTCAGAAGGTCGATCCCTATATTGTCGACAGGGTCAGAATAACGGAATCAAAAGAAAGAACGTTTTGTGTATGTATTCAGCTACCCTGAAATGGATGCGGGCTTCCCTTTAAAAACAAACCTTGTCATCCAAACAAAATATAACCTGATGATTTCTCTTCAGTGTTGTCACGTCACGGTTTATCCATGTGAAAAACCGGCTTCATATTCTTCTCATGCAATGTTACTATAATAATGGTGTATTTTGTTAACCTTGAATGGTGCATACATGTTAAGTGAGATTTCTTTTACCATACGTATGTTTTATTGACCAATTAATAAGCAAACCTAGAAAGTGCTCTTTTGACAATAGAAAGAGAAAAGAAAGACATTGAAGAAGAAAGGTGAGAAAAGGGGGCAAGATGAAGAAGATTGTAGCAAGACAGGAAGCAATTAAGATACAAAGGGGAGAACATCAATAGTAGTGGAGAAATGAATAGAAAAAGATAAAAGAGAGAGATAGAGAGAGAGAGAGAGAATTAAACAACGAAATAGAAAGAGAGATAAAAGGGGGAGGGAGAGAGGGTTGGAAGCCTGTTGATCGAAAATAGAACGTAAAACAAATAAAAACTGGAACCTAAAACAAAAACAGTTCTTTCTTGATCATCTATTCATATTAACGCTGATTGGGGGAGGGGGTGCGGGGAGTACTTCTCTAATGTTTAGACATCACTGTGTGTCGTAAGAACTGAAGACACTTTAACTAAGATTAATCTTCTTCCCCCCCCCCCCCCGCTCCTAATGATGGATGGGACGTCCCTGCAGTTGTATACAATATACTTCTCGGTGATGAAGGATGGAAGAGCGATCTTGTATTCCTTGCTTTGTGACATATCTCAAACAGAACGATGAATAATCTAGGATCAAAATAAGCGAACTATCTCAAGGTGGGGTCGGTCACACAACTTGGCGGAGGCCATGTAATAGTAATTACTATCACCTTACATATACCAAGGTTGATCTATTTTCACGTATTATCTTCTATCTTTCTGTCGAATCTCCGCACGAATTTGCAAGGAAACTACTCATTTAACGCGAGCTCACTCAGTTTTGCTCTTTCCGATGCACCCGTGGTGTGTGTAAAGTTTGGCTGTGGGACCAGAGCGCTTTATTTTTCTGTCATCCAAAGCGAGCTAATTCGTTGGAATAGGTATAGAAGGATTCATCGACAAAAATAAAACTTATGTGGAGACTTGCAGTGAAAAGGAAATAGATGTTTTGGGAAATGGGCGGTCTTGTGAAAGTTTTGAAGACAGTCAGCACATTTTGCGCTTTATTATTGTTAACGCCTCCGATCTATGCAGCTAGCGTCCTGGTACAGAGCCTAACAAGCACCCATGTCGTGCATAGTCATTCCTCCCAGGTCGTTTCGAGAACCACCGGGAATGTAGTCGGAAACGCAACGCGACAAGATGGGCAGGGAGGTGCCGTCGTTTCGGGAACGAGCGTACACACCCATGAAGTATCTGTATCGAGAACGTCGGTTGGAACTAGCGGGAATGTGGAGATACATACTTCGGGAACAACCGGGAATGTCGAAAATACTGTCAGCGCATCATTTCGCTATGAATTGATTGATTTATCGGGAATAATACGAGGTGCTAGCAAACCCGGTCGGAAGTTTTACAGAGCCGTCGGAAGGAAAATTTCACATATGGTAAGAAAGTTTCAATTAAAAAAAAGACTCTTATTCCCAGCGCACACGACACGATCCTCCTGGATTTGATGTTCGAAGAAATTGCTATTACATTTGATATGGCAATATAAACAAAAATCATCTTTCCGATTTAGTATCTAAATGAAGATAAGAAGACCATAATTTTAGAGCATTTCAGCTTCCTACTAAGAATTAAAGCCGAATCGGCTTCACATTGTGTAGGCGTCACTACGATTTTGAGCTTTAGCTTTTCTTTCTACAAAGAAATCTGAATTCCCTTGAAATTCAGATTCTATTCGTTTGTTCGTGTCTCCTTAGATCAAGATAATTATGTAAAGTTCCTTAATTTAAAAGTAAATTAAATCAAATTAAGTTCTTCCATCGCCCGATTGCTGCAATGGCCGTTTCATTAACAAGGGCCAGGTCTTCATCTGTGCAACCAGATTCTATTAAGCATATATGACTATTCAGATCCTCGATCATTAAAGCCCCACTGTACTATTCATAGCTACTTGCGCCCTCTGTATAGCAAACAATGCCTAATTGGTGCCTGTTGGTCACCCATGATCCCCCTTTTCTTTTTTTAATTGAGAGCTGATTTAATGAGGTAACCACCTGTCAGTGACCTTACAGGGAGGTTTCATCCCCCGGCCAAAGTAGTACAGACGAGTTTTAAGATTTTAAACGTTTGAATACTCATATCAAATGCTATTGCAAATTCTTCCGAAATCGGATCGTAAATATCTCCATCTATCTGTCTATCTATCTATCCCTCTATCTGTCTATCTATCTATCCATCTATCTGTCTGTCTATCTATCCCTCTATCTATCTACCCCTCTATCTGTCTATCTATCTATCCCTCTATCTGTATATCTTTATATCCATCTATCTGTCTATGTATCTATCCCTCTATATATCCATCTATCTGCCTATGTATCTATCCATCTATCTGTCTTTCTATCTATCCCTCTATCTGTCTATCTATCTATCCCTCTATCTGTCTCTCTCTCTATATATATATATATATATATATACATCTATCTATCTATCTATTTGTATATGTCTGTATGTCTGTCTGTCTTTCTGTCAGTCAACATCTCTAGCTCTCTCTCAACATCAACCTACCTCCCTACCTTAATTTTTCAACCAATCAAACTACTACATACATCAATGTATTAATGTGTTTGTTTCAACAGTCCTGTTACAAACTCTCTCATCCATTTTTCAATCTGATCCGTCATCTCACAGACATATTTCATTATGTTCATTAAGATGAAATCATTTGTTAATATAGGTGAGATCTGATATGAGAATGTATTGGCATGTATACTGCAATCTAATGTTTGTTGAAAACATGAAATCAATTTTGTTCTGCTTGAATACGTTTTTTCTTCTTCAACTAACCATTTAGTGTATGGCAATCATTGTCAAGGCCACCTTAACCATTCTAAAAAGACGGGTGGGGGGTCATATTTTATAAGGTATAACTTATTCTTTTTAATGTTTTATTTGAAAGGCTTTTCTTGAGAAGTACGGTTACCTCATACCAAACGGAGTGAAACATACCTGGAGAGCTGAAAGGAATGCACTTACGTGAGTAAAACAACCAAGTAGAAACATATCTGGAAATAGAAGTAGAAGTTTTTTTAAAGGCGAAGAAGAGAAGAATACAGATCAGAAGAAAAGGAAGAAGAAGAAGAAAACGAAGAAGAAGAGAAGAAGGAGAAGAGGAAGAGAAGGAAGAAGGTGGAGGAGGAGAAGAAGGAGAAGAAGAAGGAGACTAGAAATTAAAAAGAAATTGGGACAAGAGATAACCAAAGTATTAGAGGCTGAGGTTTGCAGCTGCATGACTTTAATTTGGACTTATCAAATGGAAACAAAGTAACATACTTTTGCACAAACATTGATCAGAACTATGATAACAAAATTATGCCAATAGTTAGATCAACAAATTAAGATGGGTTGAACAAATACATTTCCGATTCAATATTTTACATATTGCAAATCTTGAAACATCCGTTTTGAAGGTTATTTGAAGGTTATGGTATGGCTACTGTGCTAGTTATATGGATGCATAAGACCGTGTAATTTCAATTATGTCCTTTGCGTGCTTCCTAAACTATGAAACATCATTCAGGTAAATTTTGTTAATAGCAGCCACTATCAGGCTGAGGCTATATGTGAATCATGGTTAATCATGATCTTGTATTATCAGTTAGTTCCTGCTTCAGCTAGCTCACCGCCCATCTACGTGAGGGTTGTACTTTCAAGCAAGGTGAAATGTTTGATAGTGGCAGTAAATGGGGAAGAGGAGGGGTTCCTGAACCCCCCCCCCCCCTTCCACCACCACACCACCTACCACCACAGATTTTCTAAGTAGAACATTAACGATAATAACGGTTTTTAACTCACTAATTACTCACCAAGAGATATTTGCAAGCCAATTATCATATACTTTTGACAACTTTTCGAAACGGATATTCTTCTCGATCTTGTTTTGATTTAATGACAAAATATTTTATTGACTCACATTCTAGTGCATATTGTAGATTCACATCAAGAGACGGTTTGGAATGTATGCCGCACATTAAAAGGAGTCACATCACATTATAGAACGTAAATTTGCAGTCTTGTGCTAGAGTTAAAAAAGAAATATTTTCAAATATATTCAAACATTGCTGAAATATTTTGGTTGCTCACGAATGGGCCTCTGCTATAAGAACTTCTACTGCTGCACGCTGGCTGATACGAGTGATAACGTAACCATACTTTCAAAATCAGACCTATAGAGGCCATTTATCTTTCCATTTTTAAAAAAAATTGTGTTGTTGACGATAGCAAGTTTTGGTATGGGGTCATGAATTTGGTTCAAATGAACATATTGGAAGCATATGCGACCCTACAATATTCAGTGCTAGTTGTCGCGGTTGAAATCAAGTCTAAAGTTATGTAAATAATAATCTCTTTATGTTGTATAGCTCCCTCTCTAGGTCAAGATATTAATTAAGCTGTAAAACAATGTTTCTCGACTAAAATCGACCGATTAGCAATTCCTGTTCGAAAATTAGATATCACAGCTACATATTCTGAGATTTCCATGGTCGCAGCTACCATTGTACGGCCGTAGGCGCTATTTGAAATTTATCACCGGTAAATTTTTATATTCAATTTTTCTCGAAAGCAAAAGTGTTTTACGGGGGCTGAATTTTCTAGTGCTTATAATACATCCACAGGGGCATCCAAATATATCATAATTGTAAAGAATCACTATCCACCCAATTTTCAACATTTCCCAAAACTTTGTATTACCTTTTTTAACGAGTCTAAAAAGGGACCACCGTCCTTGTACCCTTTCCATCAAGAGCCTCACTACCCAGGAAACGTGATTTCGTTGCTGAAATAATTATATAGAAAGCTATAGCAGGCCTATAAGCTCTACTCCTTAACAATTAATAGGATCCAGATACACCATGAACGACTGACTTGTGAATGCTTGAAAGCCATGATCATGAGCTTCCACCGGGGCGTTGTGACTTCTTATTTTCTCCCTTTACAATCAGGATAATATAAAAACTGGGGAGGAACGTCAATAAAGAGAAGTTTCTCCATATTTGTATGAGTATGTATTCATTGATGGTAGTCATGCTAACAAGCTTTGCTTACTTTATCAACCGTCCTGTTTGATGTTTGCGATTAGTTACAACCAGCCCTACTTTATTCTACATTATATCTTTTGCCATGTGTAAAATTTGCAATTTTTTGTTGTTATATATTTGTACAAATGCAAAAGAAAAAGAAAATCAAACAGAAATAAATAAATCAAATCAAATCAAATTTGAACCACAGGCAGCAGCTCTCCTTTGCTTCTCCGGAATTCGAAATTTGAAACCCCCATTATTAGCTATACCACAGATCACCCCCTCCCCCTCCCAATATTCCGCACAAAACCTAAAGCCACCACGGACTCTTTATTCATTCATTGACAAACAAGCGGATCGCTCTTAAAATTCAACCAATTGGGTTTATTAGGGTTTTGTAGCTCATAAAATATCTACCCGGTCGTCACGTGATGTTGCAGAGAGGTGCTACATGTTATCGTTAGTTATGAATTAGTCCGTCGTAAAGAAGGAGAACTGGGTAACGGAGACAGGAAATTTTATAAGTATACATCTGTCAATAGAAATAAAGCCTCTAACACGATATTATGAAAAAAAGTGAAGGGTTCAAAGGGGCGGTAATATTTTCATCGAAAACACAATTTTATTATTACTATTATAGTATTTCAAACATCATTATCAATAGTTCCTTTAGGATAAAGTTGTCCCAAACTCTTTTTTTTTTGGTAATAGATTGATTATGCAATTGAAGAATTATATTAATCAGTTTACATTTCGAAGAAACGAAATATTGACAGTTGACGGAACACTAAATTCTCACTTCAACCGTGGTTCGTCACTGAAATAAACTACATGGATCACATGTTCTCTGTTGCCCCCTTCCCCTCCCCTATTTCTTCCTTACGGCCCGGATACGCCACTGATTACATCATCAAAATGAACTTGGTTCCAGATACCCAATCACATTATCATGGTTCGAAACCAAACTCCAAGATAACTTGTTTCTATCAAATAAGCAGATAATAACGAAACAAATTGGGGAAATTGAGCAGTGATATCTACATTTGGCTTGTGCATTTTATCGGTTATAAGGCTTTATTGACCTCCAGGAAATGTTCTCATCTTTCTGCCAGTTGGCTGCAACGATTCATTTGCTCGCTCGTATTTTCAATCATTGATTGATTCATTGGAGCTCTCCTTGTCATGAGTTGTCTCGATCTGTTCTATGCTACCAATTCACTTTTCTTCTCTTCATATCTTTCTTTCTGGACCTCATAAAAAGAGCAGAGCCATTAGATTATAATGGCTCTAAATAGAGTGATCCAGCCGTATTCATTTTGAATAATTATGTCTATGTATTTGAAATAAAAACAAAACAAAACAAAACAAACCGAACAAAACCAAACCAAACCATTTATTGACCTTTTTTAACACTGGTTGATGGTTATTTTGGGATTCCAGTCTTCAAAATTAAAGAATCATGAATACAAATTCAACCCTTTCTTGCTGACATAAATGAGTGGTATTTTGTATTATTTGTTTAATTTGTATAAAGCACTTTTACCTTACATCGTGATCTTTTTGTGGTGACGTCAATATATTACCCATAACTAGGTCATTATTAGGTCTAATATGATTATTAAAATGAGTTTATCTAATTTGTGTTTTGTGTTTGGGATTATTAGATACAAAGATTGACATGTTTCCAATTTGGCCGCAAGTTTCTTCCTTTTATCTTGGCCAGTATATCACGCAAATGTGCGATGAAAACCGGGGAAAAGTTGCAACCTTGTACAAAGCTAGCTTTTTCTTTCAATGTATTTATTAGATACGTCATAAAACTTTGAAGTACTTAAGGTATGCCGGGGGGCATCTTCATGTACTCACTTGGCCTATGGATCTAGATCCGTCACTTAATTAATACGAATATGATATATATCTTTACAAAGTTTTTTGTTTGAATTTGTTTTTAGTACTTTCCAGAGGTTTGCCGGTATCAACCAAACGGGTGAAATGGATGACACTACCCAGATGATCATGGACTCTAGCAGATGCGGGGTGGAAGACATGCTAGGGTCATCGCGCATGGGCAGTATGAATAAACTTCAGACCAATGGCACAAGCAAGTTCATCCAGGTCATCGAAAACGTCGTGAACGAAGCGGCGGGTGATGTGGGCGAGAGTACTACTACCGATCATCAAGTCGGTGTGAAGAGGTGGAGCTCGTTTAGACATCGATCGCCGAGATATAGCATCCAAGGTAATGTTAATAACTTTTTTTTTAAATCGAATACCCCTACTTATAACAATAATGATAAATATGATGGAGGGTTCTAGTATAGCGCTCATGTCTGAAAGACGCGACACTTCTGTTGCTCCACAATTGACGCTCCACAATTATCAAGAACTTTAGCCTTGATCTCACAAAGGCCCAAGTCCATGCATATCCTCTTCTTCTTCTTTCTGACAAACTGATTGTCCTTCTGTTTTGTATGGTTTTCATAACTGATTATTGCCTCTCTCTCTTCCCCCTGTCAACTATGGTCTGAGTGGAAACAGAGCAACATTGGTTATCACTCCAAGACCTTCAGCTCTGATCTCAAGCAGACGCAGGTCCATGCCCTCCCATACTCTTCTTCTTTGTGATATACTTCTCCTCCTTTTGTTATGTTGTAGGCATCCTCATCATCATCATCATCATCATCATCTCATCACCATCATCATGTCATCACCATCATCATCATCACCATCGTATATATCATCATCATCATAATCACTAGTTTATTCCATATTCAGTGTTTTCCACCCTAGTAAGGTCCCGAATGGAAAAAAGACTAACATTCCCATCACTTTCAGAACTTCAACCTTGATCTCACAGAAGCCTATAGATCCATGCCCTGCTCTTCTATGTTTTCTACTACATTTCCTTTCTGTCATCGTATAATCCTCTTTTTGTTGGTCTCCCTCGCTAGGTTCCGAATGGAAAAAGGTAAACATCACTTACCACTTCAAGAACTTCAGCCCTGATCTCACTGAGGCCCAGATCCGTGATGCAGTGAGTCGAGCCTTCCAACTCTGGGCTGATGTGACCACGCTGACCTTCAGAGAAACATCGGATCCCAAAGCCGCCGACATCGTCATCCGGTTCGCTACCGGAGTCCATGGCGACGGCGCTTTTGCTGCTTTCGATGGGCCAGGTAAGATTTGGATTACAAAGATGATTTAAAAGATGAAATGATTGTGTTGGATTGTTAGTCTACGGTGATCGTTGAAATTACATCGTCATTTTTGGCACGCTATTGTGGAAACGTTAATCTATTTAATTAACTGTAATGCGATACATCTCAACTGCAAAATGCACTAGAATAATAAATATAGTCATCACATAATTTGAAAGAGATCCATTATCCATTATCCGTTGACTGGTGTTGAACCTTTAGCTGTCCAGCACCTCAGAAAATCTATGTAATTCAGTTATCATTCAGCTTTTTCCACATAATTGCGCTTATCGCAACATTGAAACCCGATGTAAAGAATAAATCCCTCTGAGAGGAAAAAATCCAACCCACATTATCCAATCTAGAACTTGAGGTTGCCGAACAAAATTTAGTGATATAGAGCCAGATAACTACTGACAGTTTTGGCGTGCACTAGACGGTATCATAGAAATTTGAAAACATTTTTTAAATACTTTTTTCAACAGGTGGTACTCTCGCGCACGCTTTCTTCCCTGAGAACGGCGATCTCCATTTCGACGATGACGAGACATTCAGCGTAGGTAGCGAACAGGATACTGATCTCTTCATCGTAGCAGCTCATGAGATCGGACACAGCCTCGGGTTGGAGCACTCCAGTGACATGGGGGCTTTGATGTACCCCTGGTATCTGGGATACCAGCATGATTATGCCCTCTCCCAGGATGATATAGATGGTATTCAACAGATCTATGGTATGTATTACATAAGGAGTTTTAAAGAATCTCCTTGGTTGTATGTAGTGTGTCCATGCCTTGAGCCATAATGCATGGCCGTCCAGAGGATTTTGTTATGTTGGGGACCGGGGTAAAATGCAATCAATTATTGAAAATGTATTGCATTTTCTTTGTTTGTTTTTATTTATGGAAACTGCCCCCTACCCTAGCCCCCGCTGCGTACAGTCATGGTTCAGTGACAAAGCAATGGCCTCGTAACTGTGAGGCCCCAGGATCAAAACGGTATCGATGTGCTATATTAGTGCCCTTTTATGGGGCATTAATCCTCATTACCGTCATTTATGGCTTAAGGGCGTAGGTCCCTAGTTAATAAGCATAGTAGCATACACAAGCTTTAGCAGTCACGCAAAACACACATTGTCAAATTATCATACAATAAAATTAGAGAATGTATACTATTATCTAGTCTAGATCTATTATATTTAAATTATTTTTAAACTAATTCCATAAATTGGGGTAAAACAAAAATATTCCAACTTTATGAGCGACAGCGTATTTTCGACTAAGGACGACGCGACCGCAGCATTCACGTGCATGCAACATATGCGAAACCGAAGCGTGAGGAGAACTGTTTCGCCAACGCTAGCGCGCACTGACCCACTCTAGCGCGCGCTGACCCAGTTAATCAAGTCCTTTCGTTTACGTGCAGTTGTCCAAAAGAAGACGTAGATGGCGTTAAACAGTATGTGCCATGACACACTCCCTTTAATCTTTTTCTTCCCATTCAGGCAAGCCCGCTCTGAAGCGCAAGGAGATGGAAATGGGTGCTGCCCCTACCAACCCCCCTAATCCCAATCTCCCTGATGCTTGTAACTCAACGTGGGATGCCGCTACTTACTACTGTAAGTAGGACAAGATTCATCAAAAACGTATAATATCACAACTTTATATTCTATCACCTCATAAAACAAAGGAATTTGAAATGCCATTTTGTAGGGTGTAGTGTCTTAAAGACGGCCCAGTTTGATCATGATCATACATTGTCAAAAGAGGCTTCTAAATTTAAGGAAAGGCGAAGTCGAATCAAATCCTCTATTTTCTAATTGTTTAGGGTTAGGATAATAGGGCTAAGTATAATGTTAGGTCAAGGGATGAAGTCAGGAATTCGGTTAGGACATTACAGCGGAGCAATATTATTGTCGCAAGGTGAAGTGTCGGGCAACCGCCTTGGGTTGGAAGTGGGAGGGGGGATTTGGGACCTTTACGTAAATGGTAATAATGGTGGCTTCTTAAATAGCGCACATGTCCGTTACACTGTGACACTCCTGGCGCTCCAACATTATCACCCCGGTCATATATGGCGGCCAAATAAGTAGCGCTCAGGAACATCGGGTATCCATTAAAACCTGGGTGGAGAGAAGCAAAAGCGGATTAGTGCCTAAGGACGATGGTGCCATAGGCTGGGATTCGAATCCTCAACTCTTAGTTTGAGAGTTTAGTAAATGAACCACTGACACAAGCTATGACCAGATACTTTGATTGTTGTTTTTTCCCCTTACGTCACAGCTGTAGACGATGTAGTGTATGCTTTCAAGGGACGATACCTATGGGCGATCGGCGATAATAGGATACTGCCTGGCTACCCAAAGAAAACTAGACTCGTATTCAAAGGAGCGCCCTCTCTCGTTCATGCCGTACTCTCCATCGGCAATCGACTCTACATGTTTAGAGGTTGGTAAAATTAAATTACTAATTCTAATAAAATGGTGATGATGTTGATGAAAATGATAATGAAAATATGTTGATATAAATATGTCTGACACAGAAAACGAATATAAGTAAACGGGACTTTACGGGAGTTATGATAGCGATGGATTTTTTGTATAGAAATCTCGTAATAATGTTGAATATTAGTTTAGCACTGAGAAAATATCAAACTATGTGCTCTGGCAGAAATGCTTTCTTCGTATTGAAGTTGGATGAATTTAACGTTTTACATGATTTTATTGAGTCTGGGAGTGCATTCAATAAATATGGACCATGATATCTTATTGATTTATGCAGGATCAATACAATAAATAGACTAATTGGTATATTAACTCATGAATTAATAAATTCTCCCACTCTCCATTATCACGAATAGGTCGCAAGATGTGGCGGTTCGTGGACAGGCAGCTCGACGAAGGATTCCCGCGACGTGTTCCCGCGGGACTACCATCGGGTCCCAACGCAGGTTTCCGATGGGGCGGGAACGGTAAACTCTACCTCTTCAAAGGATTCCGATTCTACGAGTTTGATGAGCAGACACTCAGTGTGGGTCCTCCCCAGACTATCCGGCGACAGTGGCCTGATGTACCCGTTAAAATAGACGCGGCATTTCAATGGAAGAATGGCCGGACGTATTTCTTCAAGGGAGACGACTTTTGGCGGTACAACGATTCCAAGATGAAATTGGCTGGCGGATACCCGGTTTCTAAGGCCAAGTATTGGTTAGGATGTGACAACCAATCAATAGGGACTTTTATAATTGCACGTTGACAGCCTTGACTGCAACGTGTGACGTCATTTTAAGGCACTGCGCATGCGTCACGTCGTCTCAGTCGGCGATCGAGAATGCGCCAACCTTGATTTTCCTAAATCTAGTACGGTACTAGTATATGCTGCGTGCGCATAAAATATACAGTTCCTCAGGTAGACAAAGGAACATCCCTTCCCTGCTACTATGTAAAAATGTGTAGAATAGGTGTCACATGCATGTTCACCTGTTCTACACATTTTTACATAATAGCAGTGAAGGAATGTTCTACCACGTAGCAATAGGCCATTTTCGTAAAGTAACCAAATTTAGTGCACAGGTCTTTGTGAAGTGCCTCAATACAAACTATTTCATTCACCTGATAGGAATAATAGTATTTCAATAGACAGAATCCTAACTGCATACATTATAGTTGTTGCCAGCTAGGTTGGACAAGCGTTATGGTTTGACCTACCTAGCAACACTTAATATATGCAGTTGCATTCTGACTATTGAAATACTATTATTCCTATCAGGTGAATTAAATAATTTGTATTGAGGCACTTCACAAAGACCTATGCATTAAATTTGGTTACATAACGAAAATGGCCTATCGTTGAGAGTAGAATGAGGAACTGTATATTTTGTCCTCTTTCTTTGTCTGTCTTGTTCATATAGTGTTACTTCCTACATGCATGTATATCGTTGAGTGCAATCTAAAAGATTTCTAATTGTAGTCAACATGGGCAGTTGAGTACGTTGACACGCATGGTCAGTTGGCGTTCGTCGTGTTCTCGTCCACTCATTCTAAAAGTCCCTAATATGAATGCCCCCAAAACAGGGATCTTCAAAGTGTAGATCTTTAACAAATTACCTATACTTTTAAATATAATGCCATAATCTAGACTGCAACGAGAGCTGTTAGTTGACAGTTAAACTATTGATCTCAATACAAAATCTTTACCTCAGAAAGTTTCAGCTGCTCAGCTTTTTAAACGATGAGATCAAAATGTTTAACTTCCAAATATATCACCGATGCAGATGAAGTTTTATGATTGTAGAATGAATATTTGTTTATTTAAAATACACAATTTGAAATCAATGAAATGACTGATTTTTCGTATTTTGTTGCTTAAAATGTCTGTTCTGGGTATTCTGAAATAAACATGGAGATAGGAGTAAGCAGATTATGTGATATTATACATCCGCTCATCAGTCAAATAAATTTGTCTTGTAAAACTGTTATTTCTTTGTTTGAGTGACGTATTCAGCGCTTGTTCTATAATTAGCGCAATAATCGAAATGATTTGGATCAGTGTTGATAGTAATAAATGAGAAGAAGGCGGCATGAGCAGTCAGAGCACATAGCCTATATGTCAGGAGTAAGAATCGAAGCACAAATGAGAAGACTGTGTATAAAATCTTACATTAAAAAAATAATCAGTTTGTGTTTCCGAATATTTTAATTCGGGATATACAGAGGTTTCATTAATGAGTATAACCAGGTATAACCGACACCATAATACGTTGAATGTTTTGAAATTACTATCAAAGGAAATGAATAAAATTGACGGAGAGAAAGAGAGAGAGAGAGATTTGCTTTTTCCTTCCATAACGGAAATTTGAGTCAAACGAGCTTATTTTGAGGTTGACAAACTTTTATCTCACTGATATTGGTAAGTTAGTTTCCTCGGTGTTTGTTGCGAAATAATGGGAATACCCTAATATTACCAATAAAAATATTATCTTTATTTGGGTCGTTGTTGTCCTCATTTATTAAGTTTTTCCGCTATGTATCTCTCTGCTAAAATCCAAACTTGATAACTAACACCGTTGGGGAAAATCAAAGAAATATTGTTTATCGAAATTTTGATGAACAAAAAAAAATCAATGAAATTACTAAAAGAAAATCGCGATCGCTTAAGTCAATGTCACCTTAAAAGTTGGAATTGATACCTGAGTGTACATTAAGATTACATTTGTGAACATTTTTCAAAATGAAATAAAGAAGATAAAAAGCAGACCATGACTTACTAGTAAATTGTATGATGATGTCATGTTTTTAACTTTTTTATTTATTGACCTTGATAGCGCGGCATGCATGTCCCCTTTCCAGGCCCCCTGTTAATATCTATTACTCTTTCCCCCCTTTCCATCTCTTCTTGTTTTTACTTAGCTTTTTAGAATGATAGATTTGGGATTACATGTCTACTTGTACATACAGTGAGACCTGTATAGGACTTCAATCTTCATATATAATTCTGTTGAACATTGACTATGTTATTTGTCATGACAGAAATTCTTGCCATTAATATGATACATTTATAATGCAGATTCCCTTTTTAAGTTTAAATAAAAGCATTACCTCTTTCCTCAGAAGTGTGACATCCCTCATGGTGCTTCTGAACTTCGAAGGCTCGATGATGAGACCCCCCTCCCCCCCCCCCCCCCACTCAGTGTTATTAGGGTACTCTTATGCATGTTCCCTCCCTTTGAAAGCATACCCGGTGTCTCCGGTGTGTATAGTCAAGTTCGCTATAAGCATCTTTCTATTTAGAATTAGATGCACATCTTGATATTCTTCGATCGAACGAACGAATGATTTTCACATTTGGTTTCGCTCATAATACTTTCCTTTTTGACGGCAAAGAGAAAGTTCAGTTCTGGGATGAGGTAAAAAATAATTTGTGAGCGTTACCATTGTATTATGCAAGTGTGAAAGAATATCAGATAACAAATGTTACCTGAAAAGCATGGCTCTTCAAATGCCTTAATATTCTAAATATGGCATGTAACGTCATAAAAATCGGGACGGATTTTTTTTCCCCGCATGTTCGTCTTATCCCATATACATCTTTCTGTGTATAGTGCTTGTAACTTTACCAAGACTGGGCCAAAGTTCTTATCATTTTGATGATTCGAGAACCTTGCAGTACACACCAATACTTATAGATGATCAACATACATACATACATATTGATATTTATATAGCGCCTTTACATAAACATGCTCAAAGCGCTTTACATTAGTAAATAAAAACAGAACAATTATATGCTCTCCAAGTGCATTACACTCTAAAAATAACAATTACAAAGAAAACAAATGAGTTTTAAATGATGCGACTGAGGTGCAGGAACGAATGCTTGATGGGATACTATTCCAAATAGTGGTACCAGAAAAAAATTATATTTTGTTGACCCTTCTTCGAATTGATGCGGGAGATTTGCAGAAGAAGGGGGTCTGACCTTGAACGTAGTGAATATCTTGATTGCTGGATGGGACAAAACAGACTAGAAATATAGGATAAGATAAGGTTATACATAGATGTATAAACAAATAGTGAAACTTTATACATTCACTTTTGAACAGGTAACCAATGTAGTTGTTTAATCATATTTTCTTGCATTTGAAACAATACGGGCTGCACGATTCTAATCGATTCCACAACGTATCTTTCACAATACAATCGCATGACCAGAACTCAACTTTATATTTAAGTGTCTTTACAAGTGAAAGCCTGTGCCATCATTTATTTTTATAACATTTGTCATAATTTCTTTCAGTTTCTATGTTCATATAATTTTGTGGGTTTTATTGTTCTTAATCACCACTGAAGGAGACTGTCACCCCTTGAACTATCATTAATCATTTATGGGAGGAATGGGTTTACTTTGATAGATTGATAAATGTTCCCGATTTTAAAGTGCATGCAGATATTATTCAGCGTGTTATAATTGTGACAAAATTACTTGAGATTGTAAGCAGTATACCCCTGATGTTAAGCAGAAAGGAAATAGGCAACAGTCTACTCTCCATTGTGTTCTTCCATATTTTCCTGCAAACTAAAATAAATATTTAAAAAAAAACATCTAAATCTTGGAGCCTCTTTTTCCATGAAAACGAAGTAAAGTAATACCACGAAGTTGGCAAGGAAGGAAGAAGCCGCGGAAATAATAGGTGCCATAAAGGTTAACGAACAGGCATGAGTCACAGTTGTGGCAAGCCTTGGAAAACAAACGTAAGACTCTTTTTTTTTTATTAGTTAATGTGATGTTCACAACTCCGCAATTTGTTTTCTCTTCCAAATAGATCGAGTATTTGAAGATTCTATTTCAATGATCGATCGGTGGTCTATTCTTTTTTAGTTCCCTTTGATTCTGTATTCCCTTGAGTATTTTGCGCTTTATAGTTTAAGAAATTGTTTTTCCGAAATGCTATCTGTTTCCAAACAATAAAAATGACCAATAGTCTGCGTTTCCTTCCTATTTTGACTTTTGCTATTGCTGGACAATAGTCTAAAGATGACGTCATAATTTGAGGAAAATGAACATAAACAGTGAGTCATGTTCTTCTTGAGTTTATAAGGGAACTTATACAGCACCCAATGGCGGATCCAAGGGGGGGGGCGCCCCCCCCCCCCCAAAAAAAAAAAAAACTGAGCGAATTATCGGCCAGCTTTTTCGTCGCTAAATATTTTCCCTCGAATTGGGTCCCCTCCCCTGCCGCCGGCTGGATCCACCCCTGACAGCACCTTTAATAGCCTAGCTAGCTAGCTTGCACCCACAAACCCTTGCCAACCGTCAAGCGTAACATAATAAGGACTTTTAGAGATTGGCGTGGACTGCTACGTGTGACGTCCTTTTAAGGCACTGTGCCTTAAAAGGTCGTCACACGTAGCAGTACACTATGCCGTCGTGTAAATCTTAAAGTCCCCTAGTGTCTAAATTAAGAGACTCACCCATGTGCTCTGTACTATAGCAAAGTATGCAAAAGCGATTTGTAATGGTATGTGATCTAATGATGAAACGTCTGAATGAATAAACAACAGGCATGCATGGGCACGTTTTGTTTGATCGTTTATAATCCCATTAGATTCACTTCCTATACTATCATCGGGGGCGGATCAAGGATTTTCCGGGGGGGGGGGGCTGGGTGGGCGTGAAATGTATAAAAATGCGAAGCATTAAAAGGCATAAATAGTCAATTTTTACTGAATTGCCCTAAAACCTAATAAAAAAAAAACTTTACGATGTGGGGCCCGGGGCCTGATT